ACGTAAATTAGGCCATCAAGAGATGTTTAGTTTTTATTGCTTCATTTCAGGTCAAAACAGACGCCCAGAGATCCACCATACAACCAAAACTACTTCCTGCAACAGCCGCCAGTCTGCGTGCCACAGGCCCACCCTAAAAAGGCGCAGGCTAGGTCTCGCCGGACACTGATTTTCCCAAGAACCTGACTACGGCAGGCAACCCATGCCAGAGACTCGGCGAGCTTATATTATCAGACATAATTACGGCGAGATTGATGATCGCGATGCTAATGCTTGCTCAATATAGACGTCCTATGCGTAATGCGCTGTTCGATACGTGATAAATCATATTTAATATCCATACTAGAGGGACAGCATTACGCGCAGCGTAAAGAGGGACAGCATTACGCGCAGCGTAATGAATCAATTTTCAATAAAATCGGCCCAGTAGCGGCCGAGTTATGGCCAGGATAAATTTGGCGTCTCCTCCTGGCCGGCGGTGCTCTGTTCCGATATTCATTGCCAAAGGTCAGTGACCTTCCGGCTCTGATTTCGCTCAGTTTTGCAAGCGAGGAAACTGAGGCTAATGCGCGTGCTCTCTGATCGGCGACGGCCGCGGCCCAAAATCCCGCAAAGATGCGCCCGCCACGTGCAAACCGGCGAGCGCACCCCCACCAAAATTTAATACGACAAACAGATGCACGCGTCCGACTTAAGTCCAAAATTTCACCCGCGTAGCCCGCACCGTTCCGGAGCAATAGCCCGCCAAGCGTGACTGACGCGTTACATACATACATACATACATACATACATACGTACAGACGTTTTGATTTTTATATATGTGAACTAGCCTCCAGAGGGAAACAACTAAAAAAATAACAGTTTTTATTAAAATCGTTTTCTGCAATAACCTTTGACTCCAGACAGTGACGACATCTATTTTGCCAGCATCGTATTCCTCTCGTCGAAACGCGTCGAATGAACTATACGTCGACCTTGAAAGGTCATTTTGAAAATTTGACCTCAGGTCAAGGTCATGACCTTGACGGACAGGGTCATGTTGCATATCACCCGATCCATATCGTCGAGCTGAACACATCTGACGTGTTTTCACCGCTTTAGCACGTCTCTATCAAAAGGTATAGCCAAAGAAATGCTGGTGACGGTTCATGACCTGAGATGACCTCAGGTGCACACAGAAGGGTCACAGGTGCATTTTGTCGATTCAGTGTGTTATGTTTACCTATGAACCGGTGTTTGAGAGGGTTTTGAACCACATTCGTCCAAAAGAGGCGCATTTCAATTTTCTCCAATTGGTTTATAGTTTATACCTAATGGAGAAGTCGCAAAATTGACCTGACCTTAGGTCATGGATATCAAAAGTCCGACATAAACAATTTGGCGTCTCCTCCTCGACATAAACAAATTTGGCGTCTCCTCCTGGCCGGCGGTGCCCTGTTCCGGTATTCATTGCCAAAGGTCAGTGACCTTCCGGCTCTGATTTCCCTCAGTTTTGCAGCGAAGAAACTGAGCCTAAGGCGCGTGCCGTCTGATCGGCGCCGGCCGCGGCCAAAATTCCGCAAAGATGCGCCCGCCACGTGCAAACCGGCGAGCGCCCCCCCCACCAAAATTTAATACGACAAACAGATGCACGCGTCCCACTTGCCCCAAAAATTTCACCCCCGTAGCCCGCACCGTTCCGGAGCAATAGCCCGCCAAGCGTGACTGACGCGTTACATACATACATACATACATACGTACAGACGTTTTGATTTTTATATATGTAAACTAGAGGGACAGCATTACGCGCAGCGTAAAGAGGGACAGCATTACGCGCAGCGTAATAAATAAATTTTCATTAAAATCGACCCAGTAGCGGCCGAGTTATGGCCAGAATAAATTTGGCGTCTCCTCCTGGCCGGCGGTGCTCTGTTCTGGTATTCATTGCCAAAGGTCAGTGACCTGCCGGCTCTGATTTCCCTCAGTTTTGCAGCGAAGAAACTGAGCCTAAGGCGCGTGCTCTCTGCTCGGCGCCGGCCGCGGCCCAAAATCCCGCAAAGATGCGCCCGCCACGTGCAAACCGCCGAGCGCACCCCCACCAAAATTTAATACGACAAACAGATGCACGCGTCCGACTTAAGTCCAAAATTTCACCCCCGTAGCCCGCACCGTTCCGGAGCAATAGCCCGCCAAGCGTGACTGACGCGTTACATACATACATACATACATACGGACATTTTGATTTTTATATATGTAAACTAGGTGCCGAGCATTACGCGCAGCGTAATAAATCAAGTTTCATTGCAATCGGCCCAGTAGCGGCCGAGTTATGGCCAGAATAAATTTGGCGTCTCCTCCTGGCCGGCGGTGCTCTGTTCCGGTATTCATTGCCAAAGGTCAACGACCTCCGACTCTGTTTTCCCTCATTTTCGCAGCGAACAATCTGAGCCTAAGGCGCGTGCCGTCTGCTCGAAACCGGCCGCGGCCCAAAATCCCGCAAAGATTCGCCCGCCACGTGCAAACCACCGAACCCACCCCCACCAAAATTTAATACAACAAACAGATGCACGCGTCCGACTCGGCGCAAAAATTTCACCCCCGTAGCCCGCACCGTTCCGGAGCAATAGCCCGCCAAGCGTGACTGACGCGTTACATACATACATACATACATACATACATACGTACAGACGTTTTGATTTTTATATATGTAACTAGAGGGACATCATTACGCGCAGCGTAATAAATCAATTTTCATTAAAATCGGCCCAGTAGCGGCCGAGTTATTGCCAGAATAAATGTTGCGTCTCCTCTTGGCCGGCGGTGCTCTGTTCCGGTATTCATTGCCAAAGGTCAGTGACCTTCCGGCTCTGATTTCGCTCAGTTTGGCAAGCGAAGAAACTGAGCCTAAGGCGCGTGCCGTCTGCTCGAAACCGGCTGCGGCCCAAAATCCCGCAAAGATTCGCCCGCCACGTGCAAACCACCGAACCCACCCCCACCAAAATTTAATACGACAAACAGATGCACGCCTCCGACTTACGTTCAAAATTTCACCCCCGTAGCCCGCATCGTTCTGGAGCAATAGCCCGTCAAGCGTGACTGACGCGTTACATACATACATACGTACAGACATTTTGATTTTTATATATGTAATTAAACATATTTATCTGACAACACGCTGTTTCTCGGATACCAAATAACTTTGTGTGTGCATCGATTCTGTGATGCGAGTTCCATTCAGCATAAAACATTCCTGCAGATATCAAGGAACTCTAGCACCTATGACACAGCATACATTAACCCGCGCCCTGCTGGGGGGGGGGGTGTTTGAACACCCCCCCCCCTTGTGGTTTTTCGCGAATATCTCAAAAACGGCGGCGCGGAGCGCCGCCGTTTTTGGTACACCTTATCATACATCAATTCTACACATGTTGTGAAAATTTCAGACCAAGGTCATTCAAGGTCAGGTCACCAGGTCACTTGAAGTGACCTCACCTCATAAAAAGTTTCAATGTCTGTCATAGCTACACCGAATGACCGATCGCTTTGAAACTGTCAGCGATTGCTAAGAGCAATAGTATGTACAAAATTTATATTTCAGAATTTTGATATCGATGACCTAAGGTCAGGTCAATTTTGCGACCTCCCCATTATAAGTCAATGGGAGAAAATTGAAATGCGCCTCTTTTGGACGAAAGACATTATAAACACTCCCAAACACCGAATTACAAGTGGTTTAGACACACAGAACATGAAAATGGTGTCCGTGACCCTTGGTTATGCCCTGAGGTCATCTTAGGTCAGGAATGGTATCTAACAGTTTTTCGCAAATAACTTTTGATAGAGGCATGCTAGAGCGATGAAAACGCCTTAGATGTGTTCAGCTCGACGATACGGATCGACTGATATGCAACATGACCCTTTCCGGTCAGGTCATGACCTTGACCTGAGGTCAAATTTTCAAGTTGACCTTTCAAGGTCAAGTTATAGTTCATTCGATGCGTCTTGACGAGAGGAACACGATGCCGGTAAAAGTAAGCTCGTACAATGCTTGGGTCAAAAGTTATTGCAGAAAAACTGTTTCCGAAAAAATCGGCTATTTTTGCAGTTTTTGCCCCCTGCAGGCAAAACCGTTGACGTTAGGTCAAATCTGAGAGAATTATTCAGAAAGGGCGTTAATAGAGCTATCGAATGCGCTTTTCCGCGGCGCTGTAGTTCTATTGGTTCCCGAGTTATGCGTTGGCTTCTTGGAAATTGTCGACATTCGACCTGGAAATCGGCGAAATTTTGCCTTCAATGACCTCTGGTGACCTGACCTTTGACCTGACCAAAAATTGACTGAAGTGATTTCGTCATTATTTTTGACGCTCTTTCGAACGCCGCCTTTCGCGTATCGCTACGTGGCCCAGGAGCCGAGTTACAAGGGGGGGTGTTCAAACACCCCCCCCCCCCCCAGCAGGGCGTGGAAATCCAGGACCCCCAGCCGGGCGCGGGTTAATGCGCTAATTTAGGTAAAACTAGCATAACTTTTCCATTGTCTATGTGGCTGCGTGCATGCGGTGAAGTGTACCGCCTGGGCTCGTACTTACGTGCATTTGTCCTTGGCATAAGTTGTGTACCTTTATTATGCCTACACGTGCTGGTTTACTGATGCATTATGCATGACCTCGGAACACTCATATATCTGGACGTTCGGGGTGGGGCAGCGGGCAGCGGAACACGCCGACAGTCACTCCGTGTTGACCCTCAATCAATTCTGGAAGATTGGGTGCCTCAGCACAAACAGGGCTCTGGACCCTCGGCGACTGCAAATGAGAGCCGCCCGCTCTGAAGTTGGTCTCGCAGACCCTCTGAAAAACAGCCCGAGAAGAGTGTTTAATCATAGATCCGCGGCCTGAGGCGGCGGCTGAGCCGTGAATGGGACGAGTTGGTACTGACGCGACACCAAACGTGAAACGGATGACGCCGGCGACGGGCGCTCTGTATAGAGACAGCCGGCGACCGCGCCTTGTTCGCCCTGATGGATGACACCGGACGTGAGGCGGCTCATCATTATTAATCAAACTGAGCTAAACCACACAGCGCAGCTCAAGGTGACCGTGGGCCAAACTTAAGGGATCATTGGATGTCATTTTCTACTGCAGAACAAAGAGACACGTTTTCCCTTGCGAAACTTAGGTATACGTACACTGCACTATTTCGTTAACAAGTCTATTCGACTTTGCGATTTTCCCTTTACACGACCGATCATTTTTTTCTAGAGCATTTTCCTGAATTCAACGAATGACAGCAATCTATTTTACATTTCAGAGTGGCGGACGGGGTGGTTGCCCCTCAGGCCAGCCCAGCCATGCAGTCACGGTGGCTGCGGACGGTGCCTAGCCCGCTGCTGCTGCCGCCGCTGCTGCTGCCGCTGCTGCTGCTGCTGCTGCTGCTGGTCCCGCCGGTCCCCGGTCAGCACTCGGTGCTGCTGGACGGTGACCTGGTGCTCGGCGGCCTGTTCCCCGTGCACGAGAAGGGTGACGGCACGCCGTGCAGCGCCAAACTGTACAACCGCGGCCTGCAGCGGCTCGAGGCCATGCTGTTCGCCGTGGACCGCATCAACAGCGACCGCCGCCTGCTGCCGCACACCACCATCGGCGTCAACATCCTGGACACGTGCAGCACCGACACGTACGCGCTCAACCAGTCGCTGGCCTTCATCAAGGCGCCGCTGGACGTCATGGACACAGTGGCCTTCGAGTGCGCCGACCGGTCCACACCCCGGCCCAAATATCGTTTCAAATCGGTCAGCGGAGTAGTTGGCGGCTCGTATAGCACAATCTCCATCAACGTCGCCAACTTGTTCAGACTCTTCCGCATCCCGCAAATCTCTCCAGCGTCCACTGCACAGGCGTTGAGTGATAAAACTCGTTACGAGTTTTTCGCGAGGACGGTGCCGCCGGACACGTTTCAGGCCACGGCACTAGTGGACATGGTGCAGTTGTTCAACTGGTCCTACGTTAGCACAATCGCTTCTGATGGTTACTACGGACACAGCGGCATGGACGCATTCCACCGCCAGGCTGCAGAACGGAACATCTGTATAGCGGTGGCGGAAAAGGTGCCGCGCGACGCCACTGCAAAAACCTTCGAGAACATCATCATGAACCTGCAGAAGAAGCCGATGGCCCGGGGAGTGATCCTCTTCGTCAGAGCCGAAGATGCAAGGTGAGTTTAGGCCTGCACTTTAGGGAAGCCAAAAGTTCTTTTTCAGCTTGTGAAGTTTTGTTTGGACGTCAGAGAATGACTTCGTATCTCGTACCTTTATTACAGAAGAAATAAGAACGCTTAGTTCCCATTTGTCATGCACCGGGTTTTTGTGGGCTAGAACCACGAACGTGAAACGGAAGTGGTGTGCTTTGCCCGTATGGAACTGACCGAGTTAATTTATTTCGGCATCTGACGACAACGCCAAATAACGTTTCGTATAGGCGGTGCCCCTTTTCTTTATTTAAAGTTCGCATTTCGCAAACAATGCATTTTGGTAGTTTTCCATAGAAATGATTATTGATTATGTAACTCACGTTTAGCGAGCCCTTAGGGTGAGAGCATTCGTGACAGCAAAAACAAAACGGTCCGTCCTACCTTCTGCACCTTTCTATCATCGTTCTAATCGTGGTGCGCCACAGTCGACAGTGCGCTGCAGTTGTCTACACTCCCAATTTCTCAGCCGACGTTTCTATAATGGTTCCGCACGCACCGGCGTCCAACCTGGGGCAGGGAAAACGGGGAGCATGTGAAATCCGAATGGAATTCGGACATCTCGGGATGGCCAGAAATGAAGCTTCTGAATCGCCTGGGCTGAGAAAATTTCGTTGCCGTGTCGGGGCATTTTGTTCCAACTCAGCCTAAAATTTTGACTATTCTGACCTTGCTGAGCTGACAGTTTTATAATGTTTGTGCTCGGTTATTCGGTAATACAGGGTGCACGTACTCTGTCGCCTTATTGTTTCAAATCGCTAAACGATCCTTATAATTTTAAGGAGTGAAAAACTGTTCACACAAAAACGTTGTTCAGTGTTTATTATGTATCCTATTTCAACAATAATATAATGCGCGATATTTTTGCTATGGACACTATTTAAGATTTCAGGCAAGGACCTATGTATGCACCACAGTGGACGCTCATCAGACATTTCACAGCTCACTCTAGATTCAAAAATGGTTCTTATCATAATCGTTCAGGTGGAAATATATAACGTGTTAACGACAAATATCGATAAAAACGTCAACATGAATAGCACCCGTCTGATTCAATGTAAACGCGTAGGAAGCATCGACCATTAGATACTTTTATTTATGCGCATTTATTCACTAAAAGTTTTATTTGATGTTGACTTTTTGAATATTATCTGAAGTATATTCCAATAATTCACTTCAAAATGTGTATACATATTGGCTTCTTCAGCCCCTTTTACAACCGCTGTTTAAACTCGATATCCCTTTATGATATACACCAATATTTTTAACCAAAGTTAAGGCGAAAAAGTTAATAATGGAAGCTAGGAACATAACTCTACTATCAGAATAAAGAACCTCAATCTTGGCGTTGACGTGTTTGAAATGACTTTATTTTAGAGTGCCTTGGAATTATGTATTTATGGCGCCATTATTCAATCTGGCCATTGGATTTCTCCTTGGCGTCGACGTGTCTACATGAGTTATGTGGCTTGAAAAACGGGTGTCTCAGCGAGAGAGTATTCTCCGCTGTTTAAACGCCTTCTAGTTCTATCACATAACGTCGATGCGAGTCCCTCTTCCCAGATTATTTCCAGCAGCGTAGCGAGACGCACGAGGCGGTGTCGGAAACATTTCATGCAATCATCACCTGAATTATCCAAGCGAGTGATTACTGATCAAACGCATCTGAAGTAATCCTAAAATTAACATTTTTAGGCTATGTGACACGTCAAGGTCAGCCAAAGGTCAACGTTCAACATATTTACACATACTTTTAGTTACTCCTGCAGAATTTTACTGTAAGTTCCCCTTATTGGTCACAGAGGTGTGCTGGAGGCGGCGAAGCGCCTGCGGCTGCGCGAGCCGTTCCACTGGATCGCCAGCGACGGCTGGGGCAAACAGGAGAGCCTGGTGCACGGCGTCGAGGAGGTGGCCGAGGGCGCCATCACCGTGGAGCTGACGTCGCGCCGGGTGGCCGCCTTCGACCGCTACATGGCCGAGCTGACGCCCGACACGAACCGGCGCAACCCGTGGTTCCGCGACTACTGGCAGGCGTTCTTCGGCTGCTCGCTGGCGCCGGACGCGGCCGAGGACACCGCCTGCGACCCGGCGCTGCGGCTGCGGACAGAGACCGGCTTCGTCCAGGAGTCCAAGGTGCAGTTTGTCATTGACGCCGTCTACGCGTTCGCGCACGCTCTCGAGGCACTGCAGCTGAATGTCTGCGGCGTCAATCTGGCAGTCTGTCAAGAGATGAGGAAGTATGACGGAGGCGACTTCTACAAAAAGTACATCCTGAACGTGTCGTTCACAGGCAAGTTATTACACCTTTTTGCACTCAAAATAGGCATCTTTTCATTCAATTTCGGCGAATTGCATTCAATTTTAGCGATCTCTCATTTGCTTCGAATAGAGAGATCGCTAAAATTGAATGCAATTCGCCGAAATTGAATGAAAAGATGCCTATTTTGAGTGCAAAAAGGTGTAGTTACGCATAAGAGTTATTACATGATGTATCTACTAGAGTGATTCAACATTGCCACCAAACTAACTGCCGGTATGCTTGGTTATCCATGGTCTTGTGGCAACAAGTTACAGCTAAATAAAACAGTGATAACTAATAGCATTTGACTGCATATGGTACTGATCTTGCATCATACTACGCGTTTATTTTAAACGTTAAGTCCGTCTTTGTGGATACGATGCTTTACATTATATCAATGGTCATCAGTCCTGGCTCTAGGATTTTCGTAGCGCCTTAGCGGTGCAGTTAATTATAAAACAGCAGAAAATTGCAAATCGGCAAAAACATTCAGCTCGTCGAAATTGAGACACAATGCACGCTACTATCCTTTATCCTTTATTGATCGTGACTATCAGAGCGGAGATCGGGCCCGACGAAGGGATCTACGCAAAATATCGATTCACTACCGGCCCTACCACTCGTCAAGTCATAGACACCGTCTTGCGATAGCCTTGTGTGTTTGTCGCTGACCGGAAGCTCATTCCGAGGTTCCGCAGGATTCCGACTATTGTGATGCAGTGGGAAGTGATCACCCATATCCTGTACTAGCAGAGTGACTGAAAACATTTTTACCACACACCCAAGGCGTGCCTGCAGATATATCGTCGGAGAATGGGGAGAAAACGTTGGAGTAGTTTTACGGCAATGGCGTTTTGATTGTCTAATATGCGACCACCTATTCCTTCATCATACGATATTGATGGCTCCTCCATTTCAGACATGGCTGGAAGTAAAGTGATGTTTGATGAGCGGGGAGACGGGATGGCTCGATACACCATCTTCAACTATCAGCGGGACCCAGTCACTGGGCTTCACCAGTATAAGGTAGGGAGGGACTTGTGTCGTCAGTGCTCATGGATTGGTGTGCATTGGTGTATTGTTTCTGGCGCTGAAGTGCGCTCTCTCTTCCTCTCTCTCTCTCTCTCTCTCTCTCTCTCTCTCTCTCTCTCTCTCTCTCTCTCTCTCTCTCTCTCTCTCTCTCTCTCTCTCTCTCTCTCTCTCTCTCTCTCTCTCTCTCTCTCTCTCTCTCTCTCTCTCTCTCTCTCTCTCTCTCTTCCTCCCTCTCTCTCCCTCTCCTCTCTCTCTTCCTCTCCCTCTCCTTCCCTCTCTCTCTCCCTCCCTCCCTCCCTCCTCTCACTCTCTGCTTCTCTGCCTGTCTGTCTGTCTGTCAGTCTCTCTCTCTCTCTCTCTCTCTCTCTCTCTCTCTCTCTCTCTCTCTCTCTCTCTCTCTCTCTCTCTCTCTCTCTCTCTCTCTTTTTCTCTCTCTCTATATCTCTCTACATAGCAGAAGTATGCTCAGCACCGTTTTATTGGAAATAGAACTGTGACCTGCTGCCTATTGCGTCTGAGTGCTGTTTCACCTGACGAACGTTCGTCTCCGTTCCAGGTGATCGGCCAGTGGGAGGGGGAGCTGAACATGAGCGCCGACAGCGTCCGGTGGAACCGCGGCATACACCTGAGAGGACCGACAAGCCCCGCTCCGGACCCCACCTCTGTCGTCACCACTGACCTGACCACTGACCTGACCTCTGACCTGCCGTCCATCACGACCCTAGATCCCGACACCGGTCAGTCTAATCCACCTACTGACCTGACCACTGACCTACCCACCACCCCCACCACCGAACTTACTACTGATCTAACCTTAGACCTCACCCCTAACCAGACCGAAAACATCCCTGCCGACATCCTCTCTAACGTCACCGAATTGCCTTCGGCGACGACCGATCCCAGCACGGATGGCCAATCTGTCTCCATGACGTCAGAAGCTGCTGGTGATGTGACGTCACAGGTCGCGGAGATGGACGGGGACTCGGTTGACCCGGATGACCTGGTCAATAGAGTGCCGCTCTCCGTCTGCTCGCTACCCTGTGAAGTCGGAGAGGTCAAGTACATGCAACAGGTCAGTGAATCATGTTTAGGTCAACTTTGATGACCTTTCTTACCATAAATATTAGAATTCGAAGTAATGGATTATCGTCAGCTTTGAACGTCACCGTGCGCAGTGCGCACCTTGACGGAAGAGCGTGACACCTATGATACTGCTACGTCACCCCACGTCAAATAAGCTACCTTATTATGCTGTCCCGTCACCTGCTACGCTGTATGGCAGCAGCCAGCTTCATCTTTTATGGGACACGTTCCCGTCATGGTATCCTGTCATTTCGCCTGTCAAATCAGGCTGTCCTAACTGGTAGTTTCTTATGTCCCTGTCCGTCCCACCTGACTGTTCCTCACTACTCTACCTCCGCCTGCTGCAGCCTGTTTCTCATGTCTTCTTTCGCTGCAGCCTGTTCCTCGTGTTTTTGTCGACTGCAACTGACACGGGCGTCACTGACCATTTATCCAACAGCGGGAGTATACCGGGAACCCTGTCGGTGCCGATTGCCAGGGACGTTCGGTAGACTTGATCAGAGACGGCAGACTCTCTGATCAGAGCCGACAGACTCTGATCAGAGATGGCCCAGACAGATCTCACTGATCTCATGTCAGATTTCGGATTAACTCATTGCGCGCTGTCGCCGCCCGCAAATGGAAAGAGACATCGTCACGTACCGCTAGCAAATCATTTCCGGGATTCAGACACTTCTCATATAATCTTTAGTCGCAAAAGGACCTTTTCATTTCCAACATACATTTCACATAGGTTAGAGGTGGCCACTGGTCACCTGGCTCTAACCACAAGAAACAAAATCAATACATATAAGCAAGAAGGCAGAATTGCAGTCAGCAGCTTCCGCTTCCGATATCAAATGGACTCGGATTTGATATTCGACTTCAAACGGCTACTCCTTTTAATGCTTACACGACAGAATGATTTTATGCTAGGCAATCAAATGACACAACGAAATCAATGATGCAACGTATCTTTGCTAAATCGCACTTGAAAGGCAAAGAAAAAAAAAGAAAAAATATACACTGTAAACTCATTTCAACAAACGTTTGTTACTTTTACAAGGAAAATTATTTAGCGCAAATCCCCGCACCCTTTGCCATGTCATCGAACGACCCTATTGTTTGTCATGGTAGTTTTTCTTACAACCCACTCACATGTAGTTCGTTAGACTAGCTACCAAAGTTTGCTTTGTCATTGTGTGAACGACTGTTTTCCTAGTTATAATCATGCGGCTACCAGGTAAAGACCTGCGCATGTTTGCATTTAACAGGGCTGAGCCGTGTACTTGTTAAGTCAAATCAATGCAAATCTTAGTTAGCATAGTAATGTCTACGTGCAGCAAACCTGTACTTGTAAGCAATCTACTAGTCTCAGGTTTGTAACATTTTACAAAGACCTCTCTTGTATTCGTCAGTTTTCTCCACAAATCGCAGGTCGCCGCTCTGCAGTCTCATTATTACAGCAAAACAGCATTACTGAAAGTAGGTCATGTATTTAAAATGGTACATACACATTACATACACAATGGTGATAACACTCATGACCCAAGGGGCAAGGGCAATAACGCATGCGAAAAAGCAATGAGCGTCATCACTTACCGAGTACACTGTACCCATTCAAATCTAAGGGGCATTCAAATTCATTAGCCCCTTGGAATTCAGGTGCTTTTTCATTTTTAGAATTCTTGAGTTTCTGCAGTTTGCTGTCTTCAGTGTAGCGACCCTTGCTTGCAAGCTGGAGCTTTCGCTCCTGATGAAAGCCTGAAAGAAAGCATCGCTATATTATAGCAATGCAGAACAATATGGCCTGGAGCAGAACACATTGTGCTTGCTTCCATACATCACGCACTTATTTAGCAAATTTCTCTGATTCAATCTGCATTACTATCAGTTGAAAGACATACATTTCATTAAAAATGACAAAAAACGACCGAACACTGTTATCACCTACCATTTTCACGGAAGTGCGCAGGAGGCCACATCACTGCACGGCGGTTGGCGCGCAACTGAAACTTTCAAAATGAAACGGCCGGAAACGTTTTTGGCGCCACCTATATAACAAGTAAGAGCTTTGTATATGTTACTACTAACACGTCTAACTAGCGTAACTAAGTCCGTGTTGCAAAGGTGTAGCTGATACCTTTGACAAGGACATAGATTACATAAGTATGTATCAGTATTGTTGCAATGGTGTAGCTGGTTCTTTCGACAAGGATATAAATTACAAATCATAAGCAAATATATGTTCCATATTACGAATAAGACCCTGGTAGTTTTCACAATAGCCTCCATAATCCTCGTCAATTTTATGAATGGTCGACTGGGTGCTGGGGCTAATACTAATATTTGCCCTGTTGATTCAACCAACTATGACAAGATATTCGTCGTTCGACATAACCTTTATTAGTATTTTTGACAAACGCTCGTCGTTGTACGACAACCCCTTGTCAAAATGAGTTTACAGTGTACTAATGGGAGGTAAAGCCGCATATTTAAAATCTGAGACGACTTTCATTCCTGCTCCGGTTTGGGAGCCTCCACTGAGGTCGATGTTTTATTGTCATTGAGATGCATATAATTGAGCAGGCTGACACTGGGGTGCAGGCTCCCCTGAGCTCATGGATATTGGCTATGGGCGCTCCTTTTCGGAAGTCGAGATGCAAGCTCCCCTGAGGCCAAGACTAAGGTAGCTGCAGTCGGACTCAGGTGGTCGGTTCGATCATCAACAGATGACCCTGCCGTCGGACGGGCCCTCTGGGATCTGACATTTTCGCTGAACGGACCGCTTCTCTCGGGGAACATCGTAGAAAGGAACGTCTATTTTTAAAACTAGCTACGATCAACATGAGATCAGACTTTATTTTCCTTTGCAGCTATAAACATGACCCCTTCATTGCTACTCATAATTTTGGCTAGTCTAAACAACACACAGCAACAACCATCTGTCTATCCGGAGCTGTCAACAGTCGGCCCGAGCATGGTCACCGGCGCTGCACTGCTATTGTTTACCGTGGCTGGGAGCCCGCCACCGGGCAGAGAGCAGCGGTGATGACCTGCCCTCCCTCCCCCGGGGTGATTATCTGGAGTATCGCCGGCGGCAGCGAAGCACGGCGCTGATTGCCCATTGACGATAAGCTGACACATGTAGCAGCGATAGTACCGGCCTCCGGCTGCCCCTGATGGTCGGGGGTGGCTTAGGGGAAGGAGGCAGCGAGACGGGGTGAAGCAGGAATGCCGAGACAAATAGTCTGGCTGAAAATGTAGCGAGTGTGGGTGACAGACGATAGAGCGTCTGGCTATAGCGATAGCCTTGAAGGAACATAGATAAAGGGGAGCTGGGTTCACAGACGCAGGGACAAGAGAGTGCTTGCAATAAATTTTATTTTTTACGTATTTTAACGGCAACTAAAAAGCAAATCTGAAAATGTAGAGCGGTCCCCCTCCCCCGTTTACCGCCCGTCATGGCATCCTATGTATGTACCTATATACATTTTTTTGTGTGATTTAACCCTCGCCGGACCTATTGGTTTTCTACATACGCGCCGGCCGAGGGGGGGGGGCGGGTACGACCCCCCCCCCCTCGCCGTTTCGCCCCTGGTGGAGCTAGCGCGTCGCGGAAAAAAAAACGAGCGTGTGCGCCGTTACGAGACGCAGAGATTGGTACCCGATTTTAAGGTCCTAGGTCAACCGGTGACCTCTGAGGTCAGGTCAAGTGCCCCAAGGTACGGTTCAGTTTTTGGTGAATAACTTCGCAAAAAACGGCCGCAGAGCCGCGATTTTAGCAGCATCGTGTTCGCCTCGCTCAGGCGCGTCGAATGATATACTTTTTGTCCGGGTCAGGTCAACTTGGGGTGTTGACCTCAGGTCAAGGTCAGGTCAGCACCCCCAGGTCACGAAGTTGGCCGAAAGAGGTCATGTCGCATATCATTCGATTCGGCAGGTCTTCCTGAGTCCATTGGTGGCTTTCCCGACTCGATAGCTCAATTTGATCAAGAGTTATTGACGAAAAACTAATATGACCTTGATGACGTCATAAATGACGTCACGCAAGGTCAACATTGCAAAAGTGACGCATCTAACCTTGCAAAGAGTGCATCAAATCACGATTCTGTGTGCTTGAGATAGTTGGAGATCGTTCCCGGCGCCAGAATAGCAGTTTGAATTTTTCCCCATTGACTTATAATGCTGAGGTCACAAAAATGACCTGACCTCATATGACCCTTAGGAAAAATCCGAGATATACAAGTTGTGAGACTCATAATGGATACTAGATCCTGCAAGTTTCATTTCCCTGTGACATCTCCTCTGGCAGTGAGGGCGTTGCGAAGTTGCGACATCTGAAGACCGTGCAGAGGTTCACTTATGACGTCATAGGTCAGTGACCTGACCTGACCCAAAAATGCGGTTGGTGTCAAAAGATCCGGCTTGAATCAAAGGTCAGGTATGCTAAGTTTCAGCTCTCTATCGCCAACGTGCTCGGAGCTATCGCGAAAAAACCCTATGGGGGGGCGGCACCCGCCCCCCCCCCCCTCGGCCGGCGAGGGTTAAGTGTCCCTTTCCATTGCAGGATGAAGACGTGCTGTTCATTTCCGACCTAGCTACATATGTGACGCTATACCCCGTGGCATGCTTTGCTAATATGTGATCGAGTGCCAGCAGTGTGGTAGGTATTGCCAAACGTCAATATTACGACCTACAAAGGCGACCCATGACATGGTCCGCTAATGCGCGTCCCTGATATGCCCTGCAGGGTGAGGCATGTAAACGTCAATATACAGCCTACATACAAATGCGACCAGCAATATGCCCCGCTAATACGCACCCATGGTGTTCCCTGCAGGGCGATATGTGCTGTTGGATGTGTATTTTCCAGCTAATACGCACCCCTGGTGTACCCCTGCAGGGCGACACGTGCTGCTGGACGTATATGTCCCGCTAATACGCACCCCTGGTGTACCCCTGCAGGGCGATACGTGCTGCTGGATGTGTGACAAGTGCGAGCCGTTCGAGTTCATGAAGGACGAACACACGTGCGAGGACTGTGGTCACGGCCGGTGGCCCTACCCCGACAAGCTCTCCTGCTACGACCTCGAGGTGCAGTACATGAAGTGGAGCTCGCCGCTGGCCATCGGGCCCATCGCCATCGCAGTCATCGGTACGTAAAACCTTGCTTCACGTATATTTGCTGACATCGCACCCTAGAATCTTCGGACCAGCAGTTCTTTACGCGCTAGTCGTTAACAACTAGACTCTTACGGCTAGCGACAACAGTTAAGGTAATTGCACTCGGTGGACTGAAAGCCCTTCCAAGCCAAAGGGTATAATGTGTCTTTGTGGTGATTGACTTGCTTTCATTACAGGCATCCTGCTGACGCTGCTGGTGATAGCACTGTTCCTGCGGCACGACGATACACCGATCGTGAAGGCGTCTGGCCGCGAGCTGAGCTACATGCTGCTGGCCGGCATCCTCATCTGCTACCTCAACACGTTCCTGCTGCTCACCAAGCCCAGTCCCGCCGCCTGCGCCCTGCAGCGCGTCGGCGTCGGGCTTGGCTTCGCCTTCATCTACAGCGCCCTCTTCACCAAGACCAACCGGATCTCGCGCATCTTCGACTCGGCGTCGCGCTCTGCCAAGCGTCCGAGCTTCATCAGCCCCAAGTCCCAGATCGTGATCACGACGCTGCTCATCTCCGTGCAGCTGCTGGCCACGGCCGTGTGGCTGCTGGTCGAGCTGCCCGGCGTGCGCTACGACTACCCGGACCGCGGCCAGGTCATCCTCAAGTGCCGCATCAAGGACTCGTCGTTCCTGGTGTCGCTCGTCTACAACATGGTGCTGATCGTCGTGTGCACCGTGTACGCCGTCAAGGCGCGCAAGGTGCCCGAGAACTTCAACGAGACCAAGTTCATCGCCTTCACCATGTACACGACGTGCATCATCTGGCTGGCGTTCGTGCCCATCTACTTCGGCACGGGGAACTCGTTCGAGGTGAGTCGCCAGCCTCAGATGTTACGGTTCGACATTCGTGGAAAGGATATGGAGAGGAAAATACATCTGTTCTCTGCATGTATAAATTATTATGATTTCGAAATGTGCCGTAAAACATGACCTTGACAGCGGCACAGTACGGCATCGTGTGAGCACCACCCTTTGGTGGTAGTGCACACATAATATCAATAAGGCACAATCGCGTGTCAGCCACTCTGCGTGACCGCAGCGTCCAGTACAGTAGTTGATCGTCACGTAAATAATAGACTCGGTAATCATATATTCACCTCCAGTGACGCAATGACCAGCTCGTGCTGGTGCTCAGTGCCGTTGGCTGCCAGCGGCACAGGATATGCACTGTGCAGTTAACAACGGTTGTCTTTTCTAGACAAATTTGTCAAAGTGTCTGCGGCCTTGTCCAAATGAAGTTCTTTATTTTTCTTCCTCCTCTGCACTGATTATTCTCTCTTTATCTTCGTCCGTAAGCCCTCTCCTTCTGTCATGATCCTGCTCCTGCTCCTTATCTTCCCCCTTTTCCTCCTCTAGCTTCTCTTCCTCCCCAGCCTCACTCCTTCACTCACCTTTCTCTTCTTCTTCCTTCTGTTCCTTATTTGCCTCCTGCTTATCCCTCTCCTTATCCCTTGCTTTCACTCTCTCCTCCTCTGTCTCTCGGCCTCGCCCGACCGTTCTGCGATGATCGTCCAGCTTGGCTCAGCAGAATCCTTTCAGAGGCTGGAGAGGCGGACCGCCCTGTATCAATAGACTCGTGGCCGGCGTGCCGTGTCCCCGGGCACAGCGGTCCTGTCGGCCGATCTCCTCGGCGGTGTGATCCACCAGCGTGGTCGCCTGCGAGGTCCGTCACTCGTCAGATTCGATATCGACGTGGTTCAGATTGCGTCTAGGTCGTACACTCTGATCACCTACACGGGCTACAATCAGAAGTGCAACCGAGCCAGAGACAGATGATGAGCTGGACAATGCTAAAGAATAGGATGTTAACAGTTTTCTATTGCTTTGATGGTTATGGGCTCACACAGTGTTTACTCAGAAATGCTTCCACTCAATTTCGAATTTTGATTCAATGTAGCGCTATAGCCGTCGTAAATATGGCACAGAACAACTTGGTAAACACGTTCGAAAGCGCAGTGGAGTCAGACATTACTACTGATTGATAGTGTCGTGCAACGTTCAATGCCAGTCGGCCTATGGCGAAGATTGCTCAAAAGGCTTTCGATAACGCGGCTATGTGTCTCCGTACTAGCAAAACAACGGTACTTGTCTCAATGCAGTGCCCAAGGCGTTCGTCAGTTGGGATCAATGCTATATCTAAACCGCTGGGATGTATCCTGAAACTGCTTGTAATCCTGATCGCACGAAATGAGCATGACGTGCAGCTTGTTTTTTGTCGAGGACTTGATGCTGTAACGAAATTCGTTCCTACCCCGTCCTCCACCTTCCTCTGTACCTACTTACTGCCCAGCCCCCTCGCCCACTTACAATACCCTTATATGGTCCTCACTCCTCACCTGCGACGCCTGTCCTTGCCCGCTTCTGATTGGTGCTATGATATGACGTACATCTATATGTATGACGTGTGTGTATGACGTTTGAATATAGCGGCCGACGCCGAACGCCGAGCAGTAGCTGTGAAAGGATGATTCGAAAGCCAACCGCCGTAGCGGCCTGACGTATCGTTATTCAAAGTCTCGGCCTACTGTTTATTACTTTTGGATTCTGTCGTCAAATTTGCAATACATACTTGAAGAAAAGAAAAACCGTGTTGGTTATACGGCTGAAACAAGAGGTCCCCAAAACAGACTATCACAGAAGAAGAAATTGTTTATTTACTTTTTACATTTGTTACAAATGGTGCCGTGACCCGGATCAAATAAAAAACTCAAGAATTGAAATTGGTTCCGCAAGAAATTGCTCTACAAGTCTACGAACAGTAAGCTGTCACTCTTTCCTCTCTTTTCCCTGAACGTCTTCGCCCACATTTTCACTTTCGATTGTTCAACTGTTATTGTGCCTGTGTACATTTGTGTAATTTTTGCATTGTGTGACTGTTATCTCCGCATTTCGTGTGTCAACTGAATTGTTTATTTGTCAACGCTCCATAAACACCACTTGTTTGTATTCGATGATTGATTTATACTTACTAGAGTTTTCAAAATGTCTGAGGCAGTCATCACCAAAGCGCTCCAAAACATTTGTCAGGAACTCCGTATTCAGGGTCTAACTCAGCACATCCGAACATTCTCCGGGGAGGGTTCCGCCAAATTCGCCCAATGGTTAAACGACATGGATCAGATATCTATTACCTGCGATTCAGAGCGTATGTGTGTTTGTTTTGTTTGTTTTGTTTTGTTGGGTTAGGCCCTTTCGGTCGACAAGACCATTGCAGAGCCGGAAGGATGATAGGAATTAGGGGGAGACATTGGTCTGGGCAGGCACCCTAGAGAGTCGCCGGGGCTGAGCCCGTCCAAATGGACAGGCCGACCAGCCCCCCAAGCACTCTCTGCACCCGGCTACGGGGTGCAGCTCCCTCGGGAGCAGCGGTGCCGCTCCAAGGGAGCAGCCCGCATGAGATAAAGTTGCCTGTCCAGCCCGGAAGGGGGTTGCGGCGTGGAGGAGAAGGATTTCTGTATCCTGAGGATAGAAGCACGGATAGGTGTATGTGTGTTTTGGCGACCATCACTTTAAACGGATCCGCTGGTGCGTACGCTTCACGCATGCTAAAAGAAAACCCCCAAATCACGTGGTCGGAACTCCGACGCAAACTAAAGGAAAGGTATAGCGAAATGACTGATCCGTACCTGGCTTCGGAAAAATGCAGACGTCTAAAACAGAACCGTGGTGAGTCGGTACAAAATTTTGCTGAAAAGCTGCGGACAATGGCGTCGGAGGCATTCGACAATCTCTCTGCCCCTGAGGCGCAACGCTTCCTAGTAGAAGTGTTCCAAAAAGGCGTGAGCGACGACAGCTTGGCGCGAAACTTGATCAGGAAAAGATTCACTAACCTCGATGACGCCCTCGCTTTCGCTGAAAGTGAGCAGCAGGCCGACAGGACTTTCCAAGTCTGCCGCCATCACTCCCCTCCTCAGTCCGACGTCGAACCCATGGACTGCAGCGGTATTCAGTCCGCTACAGACTCTGAACTTCGGACCACTATTCAGAATCTAACCTCCCAAGTGCAGCGAATGTCTCGCGACATCCAAAAACTGAAACCGCAAAAACGTGCTCAGACCGCCCCACCGCAGGTGCGTTTCAACGTACCTCCGACTACTCCCCCACAGACTTACTTCAACGTTCCCCCGACAGCTCCCCCGCAAGTCCGCTTTGATGTTCCACCCCCGCTGATGTCGTACTATGGCAACGTACAAACTCCCCCTCAAGCCCCTCAGACTCCCAGACCGAACTACCAGTGGACTGAAGATGGATCCCCCATCTGTATCGCTTGTGGCACACCTGGACATGTACGCCGTACGTGCCGACGCAACTCAACCCGTCCTCCTCCCCAAAGTACCCAGGGAAACGCGAACGCGCGTCTCGAAAAATAGCGACCAGAAACGCGCCAAAGAAAGACGGTCCGAAACGGAAAGTTTCTACAAAGAAACCTGGACCGCAAGCAGCACAAATTAAAATTAAACCTGATACGCCGATGTGCTATGTATCTCTGAGCGACCAAAAAGCCTATTCGTTAGTAGATTCAGGAGCGGACATATCCCTTATTTCACGTGAAGCTTTTGATAAAATTCAGTGCAGGAAAATCAAGGGTTTTTTCTACGAGGAACTGCGTTCCTATTCGTTCTATCTCTGGCCATAGACTCACAAACTTCGGAACGGCCGTACTACAAGTCAAAATTGCAGGATTTAATCAACCGTTCAAATTCCAAATCGTAGAAGGTCTGAAAAACGACTGTATCCTAGGCAACGACTTTCTCTCCGCATTCGGTGTTCAATTGGATTTTGGACAAAAGACGATGAACCTCAACGGTAACGTCATCCCTCTGCGACCGCAACGTCTGACTTGCCAAACGACGACATCTTTGGTTCGAGTGCCTCACAAAGTTACAATTCCTGCTCAGTCGTATATAGAGATTCCCGCGTTAGTCAACCGTGTTCAATTGCTAGATCAAGATTGCATAGTACAACCTTTGAGCAATGCACCCGTTCTAGGAGAAGAACCTGGTTTGTGTTTGGTTGAAAGTGTAGGTCACGTAGACAAAAACAAGCGTATTACAGTCGTGATAGTGAACGCCACTGGTAGGGATTACGTTTTGCCTTCTCGATCAGTCATTGGCATTGCGGAAGTTTTAGAAGACCCGGAAGGATGCATACTTACAGCTAGTGAGGAAGGTGACCAGTGTAGTGAACCGTCAGATGACGTCCCCGAAAGTCAAAAAGCGCGATTGTCACATGTGTCCGAAGGTCAACGTAAAAAGATACAAGACTTCTTGGCCCAAAATGAGGATTTGTTTGCAAAAAGTGATTTGGATTTAGGTTGTACTGATTTAGTGAAAGCAACAATTGAAACTGGTGATCATCCACCAATTAAACAACGACCTTACCGGTTGCCTTTCAGTCAGAGAAAACTTGTAGAAGAGCATATACAAAAATTGTTGCAGGCTGGCATCATTTCCCCTAGTCGTAGTCCCTGGTCTAGTCCGATTGTGATTGTAGACAAGAAGGACGGACAAAAACGGTTTTGTGTTGATTTGCGTGCTTTGAACAAAATCGTTGTCAAAAATAGTTACCCTCTTCCGCGCATTGACGACATTTTGGCTTCGCTTGAAGGTGCGAAATATTTCACTTCTTTGGATCTCCGCAGTGGGTACTGGCAGATAGCCATGGATCCCGAGTCAAAGGCCAAAACGGCATTCACTTGTTTCATGGGTCAATACGAGTTTGAAAAGTTATGTTTTGGGTATGTCAATGCACCCAGTCTATTTTCAGAGCTCATGAATAAAGTACTGTGGGGTATTCAACACAAATTTACT